TTGAGCACATGTTCAAGTATGATCTGAAGTTCATACCGTACAAGATCCAGGTGCATCAAAGTCTCAGCCAATAGTAAATATCATAGACAATTTTGTCTAGCACCTCAGAACGTGTATCTGCCAAAACGGACGTCACATGGAGTATGGGCTCTAACTTCCTTCAAACTTGGAATTTTTTATTTGTTAATTCGTCACAATAAATCCAGATGGTGACCAAGTACGCACGTATGTGAAAACATGTGTTTCTGTCTCTATTTTTACCGTTTTTATGGGGGTCTCCGTGGGAAAAGTCAGTTGTTGGTTTTTTGTGGGGGGGGGATCACCAGGTATACTCACATAATACCCAATACAAAATATTATATCAATGTTTGCAAGGTTTTCTGCCCGTCTGGCTGAGTCGTACCGGAAGTTGTGCCTCATCCAACAACCTGGCAGCAGCTCAAGGGTCAGGTCCCACAGGCTGTACTTACCTCAGCTGATGTAGTAGGTAGGAGGACCCCATCACCGAGTTTTCCACGACTTCTTCTCACCAATCTGGACCGCAATTTAGTCAGAAAACCCGAATAGAAGTCCTTGTGACCATTTTCCCATTTTAAAGGCAGTCAGTCATGATGCTACCTTGACAATCCCAGAAACACGACATTATGACCTTTCCACTTGACGGTGTTACCTTTGCCTTCTTTGGGTAGGGAGAAGCAGGGATTTTCCATTGCATAGCAGACATTTTTTGTTCTGGATCAAAATGATGAATCCATGTTTCATCCACAGCCACCATGTTTTTAAAGAAATTTGTGCCATTGGACTCAATTCGAAGGAGAGTTTTACAGGACTCAACCCTCTGCTTCTTTGGCTCAGTTGTCAAAAGGTAGGGTACCCGCCACGCAGACACCTTATATATTCACGTCAAGAGGGTTAAGGAGAATCGTTTCAATTGACCCTACACTGATTCCCGTTTCACTTGAGAGCTGTTGAACAGTTAAACGTTGGTCTTGTGAAAACAGTTTCTTCACTATGGATACATTCTCTTAGGTTACCCAAAGGATGAGCGGCCTTCACGATCTTCATCCATCACGGACATGAATCCAGATTTGAATTTTCTTACTCAGTATGTCACAGTATTATAACGAGGACATTTGTCACCATAACTTGGACATTTCCTGAAAAATATCTGAATGGGATTTTCCTAGCAAGTGTAACAACTTGATAATTTAGCGATGTTCAACAGGCTCCATGGCACAGCTTTAGCAAAGAAAAACCAAACATGTTTGTGTATGGTTTCATTGAACACGCTGACTAGTGCCTTATTATGATCGGATTTTCCGGAAAATTTGCATGGTGTATTTTAATAAAATTGTCTAAAGGCTGGATGAATTTCATTGCTCTACCATGATTCCTTCATACCCACTTATCGAACCCCTCTCGTACTTAAAAAAAGCATACCTGCTGAAGTCAAGTCATCACCACTGCTTTTGTAGCCTCTGTTGTTGTTATTATTATTGTTGTTGCTGTTGTTGTTGCTGTTGCTGTTGTTGTTGTCGTTGTTGATGTTGTTGCTGTTGTTGTTGTTGATATGTGGAGAATTCCGTGAGTTCCCAGGTCTAGCCTGGCTGGAGCAGAAACACAAGAGCTGTCGTTGTTATTGTTGAGACAAAGATGGTGGGATGGTGAAGACCGTCGTCTGTACATCTGTGTGGGGCCGTACACTCTCACCGACACTACATTCACGGGGGGCTGGAGGGTGACACTAGTGGGTCCTACTGTTAGGTCCTACTTCTTGTCTTTCCCTCTGGGTTTTTTCTGTCTGTCTGTCTTCCCTGCATTATATGACCGTTATTGGGTGGTTGTGCTTCTCTTTACTCACCATATATGACCGTTATTGTATCGATGTACAGTTTGTACACAACACACTACTGACAGTGTGATTTTCCTCGAGACCGAAGAAGAAGAAGAAGAAGAAGAAGAAGAAGAAGAAGAAGAAGAAGAAGAAGA